AGGGGGTGGTTCAAGACATACTTCCAGATCTCCAAACCTCAGTGCAATGCTTCGAGTGCTTTTCTTCCCTTTGGAACAGAGGCAGCATTTCGCTGTTTGTTTTAAGTGGCTTCACAGGTAGCAAGTCAGGATCAGAGGACTCCGGCAGATGTTTGAGGGCTGTTGCTGAAGTCAGTATTGCCTTTTGGGAGAATTAACCAGCACCAAAGTCCTTTTTGTCCTTTCTTCAGGGGAATGATTCTTGTTTTAGTTTACTTTTGTCCATCCCTCCTACACAGACCACTTCTGCATCAAAGAACAATGCCAGGCTAGAGCCAAGGAATTGACAATAGTGACTATAATTAAGGAAATTTACTGGTGAAAACACACCTCCAATAGGTGCCCCTCATGTCGTGACTCTAATGGTGGGACCCACAGCTTTCAGGATTGGACCAAGGTGTGCTTAAAACATACAGTAAAGTCTTGAAAGTAAATAGCTTTGTGGTTAAGAACACAGTTCTGATTTAAAAAACTATCTGATTTAAAAAACTCTGCCTTCTTACACCAAAGCCATCTTCTCATTTACATAAGTTGCAGAATATCAGTGGATGAGCACCTCCGCCAGGAGATCTGCTTTAGGACCTATGGTTGCTGGACGTTTGTTTTCTGTTTTCAGTCAGCACTGTTTTCACAGAAAGAATCTAAGGTGTTCTTTATCCAACTGTTGGATATGTTCCTTGCCTACAGTTTTATCTTACAGGTGTTGCCTTCCTTGCAACTCTTAGGTTTTCACTTTTACACAAGATAGCTTCCAACAGCCCACAAGACATGCAAGACATACAAGGTAAATAAATCTTATTCCACCAGTGCTGCCCTGTTCTCGCTGCCCGAGGATTCGTGTTCTATTATTTTGCTGTTTCCCTCAGACCCACCAGAAGTTTCACACAATCACACTTTATTTTCCTCACTTGGCAGAGTATTTCTCACTTGTGTTGTATCCCTATGCATACAACTCTGTGATCCATTCCAAACAGGGTTTCCATCTTCATCAACTCAATTCTTAACCTAATCTTAATAGTCACAGCAGACCTAATACTTGGACAGTAGGGATGTACCTCTGTTTCCTTATCTATAAAACAATGAGGATAACTTCTGAATGAGGCTGTCTTTAAGTAAGCAGATATGTTTAAGTTCTTAAACCAAAGCATGTCACTATTAATTGTATAGTAGCTTCCCTTTATCTGACATTGCCCTTCTATAGGTGGCAGTAAGTCTTCATCACTCTCAGTTCAAACATCTAATAACATGATAGAAGTTTGAGAGAGAAAGAGAACATAGTCATATCACTTTCATTATGGTATAATGTTATTATTCTTCTTGATCACTTGACATCCCATTACTCATCAATTTGCTCGAGGGGGCACCAGTAACATCTCCGTTCACCCCTGTTACATGCTAGTATAGCCCAATGACGTCGCTCCAGGAACACGAAGAGCCTTAAACCTATCATTCAGGGTCTTGACGAAGACGTCTGACCATCTCGTAGGTGGGCAGCCACTCAATCTTTTGACATCCTGTGGAATCCAGTCAGTAATGGCACTAGTCCAGTGTTCGTCTTCCAAATCGCGTTACGTGTCCACCCCATCTGATTTTCAGCGCCTTGGCAAATGACACAGCGTCCCTGATTCTTGATTGTTGATGGCAGTCAGAACTCTGGATTCTTTCTCTCACTTGAGTGGAGCATAATATTTCAAGCATAGCTCTTTCAATTCCTCTTTGGGAGACCCGAATAGCATTCTCATCCTGTTCTCATAGAGCCCAGGTCTCTGAGGCGTATGTTAATGCATGAAGAATGGTGGAGTCGAAGAGATGTGCCCAAAACCGGAGGTTCTTCATCCTCTTAGCTATTTCTTCAACGCTCTTGAAGACGTTCCAAGTCACTCTCTTCCTACTGCGCAACTCAGGTGCAGGTCATTCGTCATGTTGACTTCTCGACCTAGGTAAACATAACTGTTGCATTCGGAGATGTTTGTTCTGTTGAGAGTGAATGGAATGTCAGGAACGAGTCTGTTTCTCATAAACATTGTCTCCATGAGATTCAGCTGCAATCCAACCTTTCCACACTCACCGTCAAAGTCGGCCAGAATTTGTGCCACTGGGTTAATGTTTGGTGTTATTAGAATGATGTCATCAGCAAAGCGGAGGTGGTATAGTTGCTGACCATCTATCTTCATTCCCACTCCTTCCCATTCCGGTCATCACATGATGTTCTTGAGGGTGGCATTGAAGAGTTTCGGTGAACTGGTGTCACCCTGCCGAACCCCTCTGTTGATGTCGATGATCACTTCCTTGTAGAATGGTGAGATCCTGGTAGTGAATCCGTAATACAGCTCACGAAGGATCCTGATGTATTGAGTTTGAATGCCTTGTTTGACTAGGGCTTCAATTACCACTTCAGTATCAACAGAATCAAAGGCCTTCTTTAAATAAATGAATGTTAGACAGAGCGGCATCTTGAACTCCCAAGAAACCTCAATGGGCTTGGTTATCGTGTGGATATGGTCGATCATACTGAATCCTTTTCTGAACCCAGCTTGCTCACATGGTTGTCCTTCATCTAATGTTCTGCCAATCCTATTCAGAATGACTCGAGTGAACAGCTTGTAGATGACAGGCAACAGGCAGATCGGGTGATAGTTGCCAATGTCATGGATGTCTCCCTTCTTGTACAGTAGAACATTCATGCTGGTTTTCCATTGGGATGGAACCTTGCATTCAGACAGGTAGTGTGTGAAGAGCTGAGCCAGTGTATTGATGAGTACTGACGGCAGGTTCTTCAGATGTTTGGGTCTGACCTTACTGGGCCGGGTGCTGTTTGCTTCTTTACTGAGGAAATGGTGTGTCAGATTTTGGAAGGGAGAACATTGGGAATGATATATCCATCCTGTGAAATTTGATATGTGGACAGGTTGATGTGGCTATCGAAGAGATCTGAGTAGAAGTCATGGATAATCTTCTCCATTGCCCTTCTGGAAGATGTGAATTATCCATCAGGACATCAGAGGGTCTTGGTCTTGTAGTTAGTGAAGGACAGGCAGGCGTTGCAAATGCTTTTCCGGGTTTCTGATGCATCAGTCAGCACTGCGGCTCTTCTCTCTTTAAGGTCTTCCTTTATTGCTTCTCTGCACTGCTATGAGAGCTTGGACATTCACTTGTGATTGCCTGAGGCTTGCACCACGTCATGTTGGAGAATGAGCTCAAGAGTTTTCGAAGACAGGCATCTTTTTGTGGCTTTCTCTCTCTCAGCATTCCTTGCACAGTAAAGGACATGCTGAACTAGTCCATTGTATTCTTACCATATTGTTACCATATTGTAATAATAATATGTTACATATTGTTACATATTATTGTTATTGTTCTAATGTAAATTTAACTTTATCAGTGATAACTATTTTTATGAAGACATATGTATACATATATCGGATCACGGATCATGGTCCTCCCATTGTTCATCGATTTGCTCGAGTGGGCCCAGTAATGTCTCCATCATGAGACTTGTTGTTACTGTGTTTGGCATATCAAATACGTCACAGGTAGCTTGCCAGGCTCTGCCATGTGGGTGAGTTACTCTCAGTAGCTTGCCGGGCTCTCCGAGAGGGGTGGAGGAATCGAACTCGGGTCGGCCATGTTGGCCGCTGGTAAGGCAAATGCCCTACCACTGTGCTATCGCTCCAGCTCCCATATACACATATATATTATTAGCCATCATTTCAGGTGGAGGTATTAGAACATGTCCCATATAAAAGTCGGTAGTGGTGGATATGGCTCTGTGACTCTTACCATGTTATTATTCTTGCATTGTAGCACTGTCCTCCCGTTGTTCATCTATTTCCTTGAGCGGGCCCAGTAATGTCTCCATTGTGAGACTTGTTGTTACTGTGTTTGGCATATCAAATACGTCATGGGGAGCTTGTCTGGCTTTGCCGAGTTACTCTCAGTAGCTTGCCAGGCTCTCCAAGGGGGGTGGAGGAATCGAACCCGGCTCAGCTGGGCTGGCTGCGCCCAAGGCAAATGCCCTACCACTGTGCTATCGCTCCACTCATGTTATTATTAATAATAAATTTCACATAATATGTTTTTCTCCATCCCTTATCTTAGTTCTGGCTTTTATAACAGAATAGGTCCACTGCATGGTTCGCCCAGTGGAGGTTGGGTTCTCACATTTTTGGGTACTAGTATTGTTGGATAAGACCCTCATCCTCATCTCCAGCCACCCATTCATCTTCTCACTTAATCCTTGAAGAGCAAATAGAAAAAGAGCTCTTCCTCTCCTTAGCAGGACATGGATCCCCAACCATGTGGGCTCCCAAAGGGCCCCACCTTTCGCTTCCATTACAGTAGGGCACTGGGACATCAGTATATGCATTTTTGGCAGACCCATGCCTACTCTCCATACCAACTTTACTATACCTGTGAGCAACATAAGGCTTTCACAACTGAGCTGGTCCGTGTTCCTTGCAGGAGAGAAGAGAAAGAGGATGAAGCACCAGAGCTGATTTCTCTTTGCCTCCTCCTTCATGTTCTATTCTGCAAAGCGTTACGGATTCATTCATGCCATAGGAGAAATCACAGTCAGTGTTAGAAGGAAATTGACTCAGTACATATATTCAGCACTATAGCCTTTATTAGATGCCATCAACCTGTCAGAAAAATCATTAGAAAGATTCTTGCCAAGATTTAGGTGAGGATACTTAGCATAATAATGTCTATAACCAGAGATTCCTGAAACAGAGATTTTGGTCCACTTTAGCAAGAAACATTCTTTACAATGATGTTCCACTTCCTAGGAGAAAATTAGAAAGAAAAAGCTGGGAGGGGGAGAAATCACCGAAGGAAAAAAAATATTTTGAATGGATTGAACTTAATGAGAATCTGATTTCCTTCTTTAATGCATTAATTTATAATCTAATGGCTTAGTAAGTCAATACTGGGTTATTAAACAAAGTGTTTTTCTTTTAAAGATATTCTGGAGTGTATACAATAATATTGCTCCTGTGACTAGCCTGCCTTTGAGATGTAGTTATCATTTAATGAGAGGAGAGAGGCGACCACTTCGGTAAGTGTCTAACATATAATTTGAGGTTAAGGTGGGAGGGAATTGATTATGGACTTCATAAAATATTTACTTCATGCCAAATTGGAATGTCAAAGTAGTTTTCTCTTGGTGATGGAAAGTAATTTTAGCTATTACTTAATTATGAAATAACTTCCCCCTTGCTTTGGGTTCCAGGATGGTGAGGAGGTTTTTCAGGCTTGCCCTCTGCACACTACACTGCACGGTTACCATATATAGCTCATCACTGGAGCACAGAAGGAATGAAGCTGTCCTTTGGGGTCAGGAATGGTAAGGGGGAGGGGGATCACATCATTCTGTTTTGTTTATTTATTGAACAAAGACTTAGACAGTGAAAGGAATTTGCTTACAGGCTGAGGAGCGGTTGAGGGGGCAAGATCGGTATGTACATTTACTTATGATTGAAGAAAGATCCTGGCACCTTCAAACATCTTTCACACAAACCATCCAGAGAGCCTGTGGTGCTGACCGGGGGCCCGGGGCTGAGGGAAGGGTGTTCTTCCTCTTCTGTTACTGTGGGGAGTGAGGAGCTGGGTGGGCAGTGATCCGGTTTGCTGGAGTTGGGGTCCCTCTTGGTAAGAAGTCATAGCCTCTAACTGGTCTCAGTTACTTACTCCTTTGTAAAATGGGATCATATCTTTGCTCATTTGGAAACATGACAGGAACATTATCTGAGGAGGGAAACAGTTTGTCAGCCCCAACTGAGAAGTCTGTTGGTAGCACTGAAGCCTGGCCTGTGTAGGTGCTCAGATGTTGCTTGTGAGTTGCTGCCCTCCCCCATCCCGTACCCCCCCACCCCCCGTCTCGCCTTGCTTGCTTCTGCATTTAATTATCAGTAGAATATCCTATTTGTGATAGGAAAATGGTTTTCCTAAGCTCCAGTCTTAACCCTATAGCATTTGGTTTGTTTTGTGGCCACACTTAATTATGCTCAGGTTTTACTCCTGGCTCTTTGCTAAGGCACTGTATGTGTGTCAGGGATCAGACCCAAGTAGCCACATGCAAGGCAAGCATCTTACCCACTGTATTATCTCTCTAAGGGTAACCCTGTGATGTTCTCAGTGTCGAGATGTGCCAGTAAAATGCCAGGACTGGTTTCCTGTAGCTAACGTAATTACCTTTCCACCCCTAACTGATCACAAAGATTAGTCAGAGGTAGGTTTTCATAGGCCAGCCTGGTTGTAACCCCATCTTTGCGACTGGGATGTGGAATCAACCCTTTTGCAGTGAGTCTGAAATTAAGAATAGAGGACGCTTGTCTCCTTAAATGGAAAGTAGCTGCTTTTACCCAAAGCAGGAACAAATGTTAAACAGAGAAACCCAGCTTATACCCATTTTCGGGGCTGTGTCTCCAATGAGAGTGAAGATTACGCTTGACGTGGAACTCAGACAATACGCGGAGTTTATTTGTATTTACTTGGATATACCCAGATAGTCTGGAGAGCCTCTCATCACCTGTTTAAGGTGGAGAGTCAGAACAGTTACTTTCTCTGTCTTTCAGGCCACTGAATTCTGCTTTCTTCCCTATGTAATCCTACTGCCTTTTCTTTTTCTCTCATTTGCTTCAGTTTCCAGTAAAAGATGTGGAAGGTGAACTCATTGAAAATTTGAGTTTTTTAAAAAAGTGTCTTCTGCGTCAAGCAACTTCTTTCTTTTTTTGAAATTTTACACTTTTATTTGGCTACACAAATATTATAAATATTATTATCAACCACGTATGTGAGCCATTAATTTTTGTGCCTAATTACTGCACATCGCAAAAGTGATTTTACATGATTTGAAGCAACTTATTTCTTGAGCCTAACTTTCAACATTGTCTTTGATCCAGGAAAGAGGAAAGTAATGCACAGGGTGGCGTATGGAAGATGAAAGTTCCCAAGGATAGCACGGTAGGTTTGTTCTGGTCTTCTTCAAGAACCGACTAGCCTGGGGTGGTTGTTGACTGCATATGATGTGTGCGTGCTTTTCATACAGCACTCTGGGAAGCCTCCAATTAGGAGGGGACTTTTTGGTGGTCGGTTGCTTACCTGCTACAAGTGACACGTGAAAGTTGGTTATATAGAGTAGAACCCAGAAGTCTTCCCATGCAGGACTTTTCTCCCCTGGGAGCAAAAGCCAAAATCAAAACTAAAAGACTGGTGCTGAGAGTGGGTGTGGCATGCAAGGAGGAATGCGTGGGAGACCTTGCATCTTATGACTCTGCTCTTTGGGGACTCCTGTGAGGTAATGATGGCCTTCCTATGGGCTGAGAAGGGGTTGGTTCGGAGATGGTCTGCTGGGATGCTGTTTTGCAAATGCTCAACCTCAGAAAACTCCATCCTCAGGAGCAGCTTCTAATTCATCATACGACTGAAACTGAACATTCATGAGCTCTAGGGATTCAAGAAGCTTTCCTCTTTCTTTCTTTCTTTCTTTCTTTCTTTCTTTCTTTCTTTCTTTCTTTCTTTCTTTCTTTTCGAGGGGAATTGGCAGGGGGGAAGGCTGTGGTGTATATCTGGCTATACTTAGAGTTTACTCCTGGCTCTATACTCAGGGAACATTCCTGGTAGGACTCGAGACATGCAATGCCAGGGATTGAACCCAGGTAGGCTACTTGCAAGGCAAGTGCCTTTCTTGCTTTAATGTCTCCCCATCCCCCAAAAGCTTTTCGGATAATGGATCAAAGGGCAACTGCTTCCTGGTTTCACCTTCTCATGGTTTATTTCAAGTGGGTAAGCCTAAAGAATTGAGATCCCTCCAGGTGTGCCTGAGCACGGCCTAAAGTGATGATCAAATGCTTTGGTTCAAGGTATAGGCTTAAATGATGCCCAGATGTGTAGCTTCAAGATTTGCCTGTTACTCGACATACATCATAAACATCAGCTGGGCAAATAACATATCAGGCAAAATATATGAAGCTAATTCTCTACTAGAAAGGAGCAGAGAATATAAGGGAATGACAGGTTGCAGATTTTTTCCAAATTTCCGTAAAAGCAAGATTTTCTTTTTCATATTCTTATTTATTCCCACTATACATAGAATTCCAGTAGAAACAATCATGATGTCATGTTCAGTGGGACATGACTGGTGGGCACATCTGTTCTTTCTTTCCTTGTTAGCCCCACTCAGTCAGCAGAGAAAAATTTTCTCATGAGTGTACAGCCGTCCTCATGCCAACAGGTCTGTCTTGATAAGAGATACCAACTGGAAGTCTGTTGGGCCCACCTGTGTTAATGTAGAGCAGGTAGTTCAGCATCCCTGCCTTATCTTCCTCTCTCAGTCCTCAACTTTGTCACTAAATAGTGGAGAAGACACAGTTGGGAGAGACTTTCCCAACAGACAAGTGGACCAGGAGGGAGGTCTAAAAAAGCGCACCTCCTGAGAGTGAGAGCCTTGCAAGAGTTAATCACCTTCATTTTGCTTAAATATGCAGCTAGGCCAATACCATGTCTGGGAATATATCCCCCATAGATGCAAAAAAGTATAATAGAAATGACTTCTGCACTTACATGTTCATTGCAGCATGGTTTACAATAGCCAGAATCTGGAAAAAACCCGAGTTCCCGAGAACAGATGACTGGTTAAAGAAACTTTGGTACATCTACACAATGAAATACTATGCAGCTGTTAGAAAGATGAAGTCATGAAATTTGCATACAAATGGTTCTACATGGAAAGTATCATGTTAAGTGAAATGAGTCAGAAAGAGAGGGACAGACATAGAAAGATTGTACTCACTTGTGGAATATAAAGTAACAGAATAGGAGACTAATACCCAAGAACAGTAGAGATAAGTACCAGGAGGATTACTCCATAGCTTAGAAGGCAGCCTCGATTCTGGGGGAAAAGGCAGCTCAGAGAAGGGACCACCAAAAAAAAAAGGGTGCTAGGAGGGCCCACTCAGGATGGGAGATGTGGACTGAAAGTAGACTATAGACCGAACATGATGGCCACTTAATACCTCTACTGAAAACCACAACATCTAAAAGAGAGAGAGAGAGAGAGAGAGAGAGAGAGAGAGAGAGAGAGAGCGCAAAAGGGAATGCCCTGCCACAGAGGTGGGGTGGAAGGTATGGGGTAGGGGTGGTGGAAGGGATGCTGGGACCATTGGTGATGGAAAATGGGCACTGGTGGAGGGATGGGTACTTGACCATTGTATGATTGAAACGCAAACATGAAAGTCTGTAAGTCTGTAACTGTACCCCATGATACATTAATAAAAAATTTTTTTAAATGCAGCTAGGCTTTCAAATTCTTAGAATAATAAATGCCGTTATTATGATTCATCTGTATCAAGCACTTGACTCTCATGGCTATTTATGGAAAGATCTTAAATATCCAGTCCTTCCACTGCAGTCACTGTGCCCTGTGGTGCATCTTTTGAGGAGTTTCCCAGCTGCAGCCACCCTGGTGGGTTACTCTCTGATCACTCCCTGTACACCTGAGGAAGCTGATGCTCAGAAATACTGAGACCTGCAAGGACACAGGTGCTCAGCATCCTGTCAGGACTCAGACCTACTTCCAGGAGCATTTGGAACCTGTGAACTATGACAGGAAATGGAACCAAGAACTTTTTAAGTGGAAGAAATGAGAAGAACTCTTAGGCTTCCATTAACCTGAAGTAGATGCCAGCTCAGTGGATGGCATGAATAGGTCTTTACTCTAGTTTTCCCTACTTGCAGCAGGCATTCTAGTGCTGTGCTATAATCCGGGGGGAATGTACATCCATACACATAATTCAGCCACTTGGCTTCACCAGTGTGCCCCAGGTGAATGGACTGTGCGAGTCTCCATACACTTCCTTAAATGCTCCTTAGGTGAGAACTTTGCAGTGTCATACTGCAGAAAACTTGAGAGAAGGAAGGTTGAAGAGGATTTACTTTATAGCATTCAAATGTCACCAGATTCAAATGTTGAATCTCAGAGAGGTAAAGAAATCAGAAATTTTTGTCATTTGAAAGTATTTTCTGTCATTCTTCTGAACTTCATCAGAGTCCATATGAGATACTAATTGAACAATTTTCACATCTAGTTTTTGGGGCACAAAGTTTGGTTAATCTTTGGTTCACTTGTGTCACTCTGTGCAAAGCCATTTGTAAAGCAGCAAGATCTCTGCCACTGCTGGCTGTCTGTAGGCTCTGACCAGGGAAAATTCATATAAATTTGAAGAAATTGTAACTTGTTTAGCTCCAGAAGATAATTGTTTAAAAATATGTAATTTTTTGGTTTGTTTTTATTTGTTTTTATTTTTTTTCCTCATTCAAGTCCACAGTTTGGAAAGAGCTGTTATTAGCGACTACCGGGGAACAGTTCACAGACTGTGTGGCCACAGGTAAAGACGCTCACAGCTCATCCCTACGTGTGTCCAGCTTGTGCTTATTTCTTGCATAAATTTGTGTTTGTGTGTTTGAGATTTTACAGATTTTGACATTTGTTTCATAACTAAAGTTATTTAGATATTTTTCATGTGATTGTGGCATATAGTGTTATATGTGTGTGCATATGTTTATTTGTATATGTGGGTATTAGATGTGTAGACGTGTGTATGCATGAATTTTTCCCTCATAGCTCGTCTTAATAGTACCCATGACCATCTGTCCAGAATTAGTCAGACTAATCAGACAGAAAAAGTTTAAGATCGTCGGTAACCTAAAATAGTTTGGGTAGAGTTCCTTAATCTCCCTCAATTTGCCCAGAAAGGAAAAGTACCTTGAAGTCAGATAAAGCTTGTCCCTGATTAGATTCAGTCCTCTCTGTCCCTCTTAGCCCCTTCCCCTCTCCTACCTGTTCATCTTTCAGTCCCCTTGCTTAAAGGGAGCGTTAAAGGGTAGGCAGAGACGCTCACCATTTGCTCCTACTATCCCCACAATTGAATTTAAAGGGCAGTGTCTTAAGGACTTTGCTTTGGAGACCACTCTCAAATACTGAGTGGATTTTAGAGAGTCCCTTGAGTTAATTTTTGTTTTGTGTTGTTAGCAGAAAACCAGACCAAGTGAAGATTTTAATTGCTTGTTTCAAGTTTTGTTTTCTTCTAGGGTCACTTCTGAATGCTTCTGAAGTAGCATTTAGAATACTAGTCACTCTTCCTCATCTTTCAGGGTTTGAGAGGGTTTTTTCCCCCAAATTAATTAGTAGAGACTAATTTGCTTCAGAATTCTCATATTGTACTATTTTGGGAATAGGCCCAGCAAGCTCTACAAGATTTTAAATTCAACTCACTACAAGATTTTAAATTCAACTCAGTGATTCTTGTTTTATTTACTTCTTTCTTTTAGTCTGCAAATATTTATATTGAATGGAGGTTAGAAAAAATAGATAAAATTAAGTAATATAAGATAGGTTTGGAAGTGCTGTGGTGATTTTGAAGAGTTATATAGGATGAAACACAACTCTTCATTAATACTAAAGTAGACCTGCATTACTACTAACCTAATACACTGTGGATGGATAATTATGTCAGAATATTAACTACACAAATGCATTTTAAATGTTATGAAGTGAGTAGCAGTTATAATTGTACAGTCATAGTTCTATAAATATATTATTTTTACTGATATTATTTCATGAGTATTTAAAATTCTTTATATCACTTTTCACTTAAAGCCTGAATTAAGACAAAGTTGTTCTTAAAATGTAAATTTCTTTTTGTTTTAGTAGGAAGTAGTTAGCAAATTTACAATATGTGGCCAAAAGCAGGCTTTATGTATAATCATAACCACACATATCGCTGGGAGAGGAGATTTTCTGTATGAATTACTCCTGTTTCTAGAAATAGAGAAAATAATCCATCTTTATTAATGATCTTTATTATTAATAAAGAGTTGGTAGTGGGTAAAGAAGACCTATTGTTCTGAGGTTGATTTGAAAAATAAGAGCACCAATAACTATTCACAGTCACAGTCACAGTCCTCCCGTTGTTCATCTATTTGCTCGAGCGGGCCCAGTAACATCTCCATCATGAGACTTGTTGTTACTGTGTTTGCCAACATGGCCGACCCGAGTTCGATTCCTCCGCCCCTCTCGGAGAGCCTGGCAAGCTACCGAGAGTATTCGATATGCCAGACACAGTAACAACAAAGTCTCCAATGGAGACGTTACTGGGCCCGCTCGAGCATATCGAATACATCACAGGTTATTATATAGTTAAGAGTTAATAGTTATTATATAATAGTTAATAGTTATTGGTACTCGCCATTTGGCTGAATACCAATAACTATTAACTATTATATAATAACTATTAACTCTTAACTATATAATAACTATTGACTCTTCCATTAACCTGGTTCCACAACTTAAAGCAACTCAGTCTTCATTTCCCTCATCTTTAACAGTAACACCTTCCAGCTCTAATGTTTTATTCTAGCACTACTCTGAAATCATCAGGGTTTTGCTGGTTGATTCTACTTATGAATAAGATATAGTTGTAGAAGCATCTCCTTTGCATATGAGTTGCAGTCTTTAACCAGGCTTTAAAAAAAAAGTTCTGTGCCTGAAGTATACAGTTAGTTACTGAAAACTAAGCCAGAGTGAAGTAGTTCCATTCAGGAAAATTCAGCATCCATCAGTTCGAGGACCCTCAGGCTGATAGTGGCAATGCCAGATGATTGAGGAATGCTAATATTTTCCTTTTGGGAAAATTTTTCAAAAGGAAAATGTTAGCCAGTGACCTCATGGTGACTCTTTGAACATGCCAAACTAGAAAACTTCACTCTTTATTATTACATGAAATTTAGCATTGGGCCCTAACTAGTTTGTTTGAAAGGTGTGAGTTTAAAAAATAATAACTTACACATAACCCACTGTTTGAATGGGATTAAGATTTATTGGTTTTGTAATGTGTGTATAAATAATCTATATAGATTACCCACACCTTGGGGTTAGAGATAATACAGAGGTTAAGGGTTAAGGAGCTTGCTGGGGGCTGGTGCAGTCATACAGCGGGCAGGGCATTTGTCAACCCGGGTTTGATTCTCACCATCACATATGGTCATATGGTCATATTATTCCTGAGCACCACCAGGAATAATTACTGAGTGCAGAGCCAGGAAACCTCTGAGCGTCACTGTGTGTGACCCAGAAAGAAAAAGAAAAGATAAAGGTGTTTGCCTTGTACATGGCCAGTCCTGGTTTAATTCCTGTCACCACATAAGGTCCCAAGCACAGCCAAGAGTGATCCCTGAGCACAGAACTAAAAGCCCTGAACACTACTGGGTATGACCTAACCACCGCTGCCTGCCCTTACCCCCTCACCCTCACCCTTGCCCCACCACCATCTCTGGAGAGAGAAGAAGAAGGGAAGAAAGGAATTATTTTGGTAAATATTAATTACTTTAGTAAATTAGATATGTTCTTATTATATCTAAATAACAGAATATTTCAGTGTCCAAAGACAACTGCAAAATATGAAGTCAAATGTCAAAATTACAGAAAATTGGGAAATTTAAGCAAAGCATATTAACTAAAGCAAAAATTCCTGATTTTTATAATGCTGATTATTTGCATTTTATGATTGATGCCACATAAGCAAGTATAGAGCACTGACCCTATTTCATTAATATGACATGTTTATCTAAGCCAGGAGTCCCAAGGCTTTTCCCCTGTCACTCACTGCAGATTAACAGCAACAAAGGACTTGTGGCACAGCATATGACAGGAGAGTACTGAAAAACCTTGCCATCATTCTCAAATATCAACAAGATGTTCCCAACACCAGAATTTAGTTGCTTATTTTTTCATCAGTAACCTATATGATTCAGTTAGATAAGTGCTTTAATGCCCATTCCTGAATTTCTGTAATAGCAGAACCACACTCAGAAGATATTTACTCTTCCTTTATAGACATGCTAACAGATGGTCATTTATGTGCTAGTCCAGGGTTTCTTAAACTTTTCCCACTCGCTGTCCCTTTTCCCCCAAGGGATGCAATAAGGGTTAGTGCTGCCAGAAACACCTCAGATTCATCATTTTATAGTTGAGGAAGCCTTTTATCATTGCCAGTTTTTTCTTGAAACTTCCTCATTCCTTTGACCCCGTACAGGATCATGACCTCTAGTTAAGAATCTAGATTTTAGCTCACAGGTAAACCCCAAACTAGAAGGTGTATGACTATCACAAAGCACTAGAGAACAGAAAGAATTAACTGGAAAAGTGCAGATAAAGCACAGTAGGTTGCATAAAAAAACAAGTCTGGGTCCAGTCAGTTTTGGGGGTCCAGTTAGCACTGAGCACCCCAGAATCTTTGAGCCCTGAGCAGGAAATTGGGAGAATATTTGCTGCTCCTAACAAAGACAGTCAAGCATCGAGAAAGAGTTCATCTGAGTTCACTTGGCTCTCAGAGGGCAGGGCATTATGCAACCCATTTTAGAAAACGTCTCATTGAAACAGTAAGAAATAGTCAGAACGCTTTGGTAATGTGCAAAGAAGGGTAGATTACTTATCTGGAAAATTTGTTTGGCTGGAACACTTTGTTTATCTAAGTCCCTGGGTGGGTAGATGTGATACGAGTCCAGCAGCTCTGCCCTCTACTGTGCTTTCGCCCCCAATTCCCCTTACAGTCAGTATTTATTCCAGGGTCTCTTGTGCCACCCTCACCCATCCCCCTTAGCCCCTGCCCATACCTATAATACCATGGACTCGGGGCTGAAACTATCACTCATTTCTTTTTTTCCTGCCTTCCCCTCAGATGACGAAGTCATAGGAGTTAATGTCAGCATTCGGGACAGAGAAGATGTCGTCCAAATCTGGAATGTAAATGCCTCTTTAGTGGGCGAAGCAACCATTTTAGAAAAGATCTATGAACTTCTGCCACACATATCTTTTAAAGCGGTATTTTATAAACGTAAGTGCTTCATTTCCAGTTATTACCTTCTAGCTTATTCTGTCATACTTTTAAAGATAGAAACTGTTTTGCAAATGAGGTGAAGGCAGAGTCACTTGAAATTCTACAAGCCAGAAAATAATTCAATAAAATACATTTCCGTGTTCAAAAAAAAAAAGTTTCATTTCAGAAATCAAAGTGAGATTTTATTGTTGCCTAAAATGCATGGCTCAGAAAAGGAAAGACACGCTGTACTTGTTATTTCAAAAACTTAAACCAGATCTAAAATTTGTCATTATCAGAAAAATTACATCTATTTGAAGCAACAATAACAAAAACGTTATTATATGAGCTGGTAGGTAGATATTCAATCATCTCTTCATAAACAGGAATTTATAATGTATAACATCTGTATCTGTGGAGGAGCTCCTGAGTACAGGGATGATTGAATATTCCACTGAAATGCTAATACTTCCTCATTATGGATGACTGTGACATAGAACCGAAAGAGAATTCACGCATAGTGGTGAAATGTGAGCGGTATGAATAGGTGTGTGGACCCATTGTTTCCATCCTGGTTCATGTTCATTGCTTTTGTGTGCTTTTTTGAAAAAGTCATCTTTTTCATAATGAAAACAGTGTAGTGCTATTTAAATCAATGTTTGGTAGAACAAACCGGGGGTTACACATTTAACAATGAATTAGAGGAAAAGATTGACAGCCCTACACATATATGATAAATTTTCTATTTACCAATATGTTCCCAGGGTCAATAACCCCGTTTTTAAACTACTCTAGTTCATTGATTCTAAGATACCTTTAATCATGAGTATGATTTTAGTCTTACTAAGAAAGGAACACAAAATGCTCTCAATTAAACCCTGAAACATTATTGATTCCAGAAGTCTTCAAGTGTTGATGGGAGAGGAGTGCATCTTAGAATTGCTGAAAGACATTTCGTTATTGTTTCATTTTTCTCAGCCACTTGGCAGAAAGGAGAAAAATCAAATTTTCTTTCATGCTTGTCCTTAGATAATAGAGGATATTGAAACTAAGACCTCCCTCTAAGGAATCCTATAGTCACAGGCCAAATGATTTTGAGTTTAAGCAGTAAGGCCGAGCGGGTGCTATATATAGTCAGGAGGGGGGCTTGACTCTGAATTTGAAAAGAAAGCTTAAACAAAAGACTCAAAAAGATGGCACTACCAGAGTTTATTGGCTGTTCTATGAGAAAACTGCCCAGTAGTAGATGTAGTTTTCATTCCTCAGGAAATGTCAGCTGTGTTTTCAGTCCAAATATTAAATAGAAGGTCATGGAGGGGCTTGTCCTTTTTTCTATACCACAAGACTACCATCAGCGGAAACTCACCAGAAGGAAATATTTCATGGCAGCTTAGGGCTGGGGCTAAAACATTTCTTTCCACCATTGGAGTCAGCTGCACACTTGCCTCAGAGGAGGGGAAGAACATCTGAGAGGCCTGGGAGCCTGTACCCTAGGCTGGAGCCCTCCCACAGCTTCTCATCCTCTCACGTTCTCATCTAAGTACGGAGGAGGTTGGTCTTCAGTGATCTCCAAGGTCCCTTCTGCTTCCCAAATCTGTGATTAAATTTCTAGGGAACTTGGTTTTGGAGCCAAGTTGAGTGTGTCATTAGCTCTTGAGGTCACAGGGTGGCGAGGCTAGTATGTCAGGGCACTCAGGTAAGACTGAACAGGGACAGGTCCTCACCATAGCTGCTGTGATGGTCGACAGGGAGTGGCAAGACGAGAGCTAGACAGGGGGCTGCATCACACTTGGCCAGTTCAGTCTAACGGGATATCCCACTAAGGACGGTGGCCACCGTGAAGTTTGTGAGTAACGCCGAACTGACTCGGGGCTCCTGAGCTCTGGACTTGGATGGCATACACTGACATTTCTAAAACCACAAAGACCATTAAACTCAAAACCTGAATTGGAAAAAGCAAGAAATTCTCTTTATATAAAGCAGGCAGTCCTTTACTCCGTAGGGCTGTACACCTCATGCTGCAGAACTGGTTTGGAAAAATGAGGTTTGGACAGAAGTCTTAGTGCACGATGAAGAACAGTCAGCGGGGGATAAGTTAGAGGTGCCAGCTCCACCAGTGTGCACGGGCGCTGGCTGGTTAATGGGAGCCTGGTGTGAGTTTTCACATGTGTCCAGAAGCCTGCGACCTGGCAGATTTTCCATGTGGAAAAGAGCCTGAGCATATTGGGACAATACCTCCAGCAGGATTGACATGGAACAAGCTGCTGATAAGGTTTCCATGATTACAGATGGTCCGTTTACTGACAGAGAAAGGCACACTGTACAGAAACAGGCCCTCTCCTGCCCAAATTACGTTAAGGTTTTCAGAACCCCAAGTAACAAAGTCTGATGTGAGACTTGTTCAGAGTGGATGGGGCAAACTATGGGCCTTGGGGCAGATTGGCCCTGCCCAGTCTCTTTTATTCATTTATTTTATTTTATTTTATTTATTTATTTAGGTGTGGGCTGCAGCCAAGAAGGGTTTTCACATTTCAATTGATTAGAAAGATCAAAAGAAGGGCTTTCTGTCTCCCGTGAGGATTGTCTGGAATGCAGGTGGCCAATTCCATGTCTAAAGCACACGGGCATCGGTCAGTGCTCCCGTGAGCCACGTCCTCTGTGGCTGCTTTAGTGCTACAGCTCAGAGACTGAAGCCCACACGTGTTTATGAATTGCTGAGACAGATGCCCTAAAATGTTTATTCTCTGCCTCTTTCCAGAAAGTGCCGATTCCTGGCCTAAAGCGTTTATTTCCCTGTCTGCTGAGGCCCACCTAAGGCGGGCCAAACCTCCTCTGTCCCCAGAACTCTCAGATCTAAAGCACAATGTTCCACTGTTTTCTCTGACCACCTATGCTGGCCCCCACCTAGAAGTAACCCACCTCTGGAGGTCTCTAGTTCCTGATTGGTCATACGGAGTCCCGCATCACTTAGAAGTCCCTGGCTCCTCACTGGCCTCGGAAGCTCTTTTTATCTTTTATTGCTGAGCAGCCCAGACCACTGCAGTGTCAGTCTAAGCCAACACAACACAAACCTGAGCAATAGCAACAAAACACCAACATAAAAAGTCAAACACTGGTCAGATCATCTATGTGAGAAAGGTCCAGTTTGGATTCCAGGCCAGAGTTGAGATCTGGCCAGCCTTCGGGAGCCACCCAGTGCGCTTCTGCTGCTGTCTCATCCAGGTGATGAGGGGGGCAGGTGGTCCTGTTTCCCACCCCAGCACCAGTGTGAAAGATTGAGTCCATTTGGAAGGCAAGGAGTTGGGAGGGACTTAGCACGTGACACAGGCCAGTCCGGCTCTACCTCTGTTGGACCTCACTTACCAGCAGAGGGCCAGTGAGGGTGAAGACTCGAGCAGGGTCACGCTGGGTTTGTTCAGACCCCGAGAAGAGAGGGCCTGCCCTTACAGTGTGGTGATGGTGTGCCTTGGCCCAAAAGCCCGTTTTCAAATGTGGCGCTTTGCCTCGGTAGAAATGTCATGAATTTCCAGGGTCTCCCATTTCCCACTTTTACTTTATGAAGTTTTAAGTCTTTGAAAGTATTTTTTTTTTTGAGAGCAGAATGATTTTATTTTTGTTATTGTTCTGGTGTTTAACATTATCATCAGTACTGTTGCAAGACAGACAACAGAGTTGGGGAGGGCGGGGAGACATGATCAGAAAAAAGTCATCAGTTTTATGAAAGTCGATTTGCCACAGAGGGTGTTGAGAGGTGGAGGGAGGGTAACCTACTCAGTTGCTACCAGCCTTGTGTTGTTCTTCATTTTAGTTTAGTTTTATTTTGTTTTTCAAGTTAGACTTGTGAACAGCCCTGCCTTGGGTAACGTCAGCCCCCTCCCTGCCGCCCCGTCCGTTCTGTGGGGTGCGTTTTCCCCGAAGCCTTTGCCCACAGCCCAACATGCTCTCTTAATCAGCTTGCCGGGATTACTCATCCTCTCCAGCACAGCCCAGAAAGCAGGCAGCATGCCATTTCTTGTTTATTCTTTGTTTTAATTTTCATTATTATGTTTCTCAGGAAATGCACGCCTTAGCTAACAGTTACTGGCACAAAAAGGTATTTGAGTTCTTTCCAACATTTGGGGAAAGTGAATGAGATGCGTAGAGGAGGGTTGCCCCATCCTTTGCTTAAAGTTTTCTTTCCTTTTTTTCTTTTTTGTTTTTTTCTGTCCTTTAGCCCATGAAGAGCATCATGCTTTTGAAGGTGGACGTGGAAAACACTAATTGCACTCTGTAAAGAATTCTTTGTCCTTTGCTGATTGGTTTTGGAAACGGTCTTAACAGGAGGGAGAGTGGAGAGAAGACTTGCCGAAGCCCGATGCTGGTCACTTTAGAGTGGGTTTCTGCGCGTGCAGACTGGGCGATTAGGATGGGGGAGACTGTGTGGGTTCTACCGTCACATTACTTGCTTTTTTAATTTTTACTTTTTGGCTTTCTAAATTCTCTATTCTTTTCAAACTTTTTTTTGCCCTTTAAAATTCCTTATTCAGTCTAATTATTGTTTTCTACACTTTCTTTTCATTGAGGCACAAGAAAATGGTTTCCCTTTAAACAGCTCTGCTGTACCTAGTTAATGAGAATATACACAATCATGACAATACTGCTTTTGAAAACCATGCTGTACTCTAGGAATTCTAGCTTGATGAAACCTGTCTTTTGATTATTTATCGTGACACATTGCTACACACTATGCACCAGGCATTGCTTTTTTTATTTTCTGTCCCAGGGAAAAGATAAACCATACTTAATCTGGTTTTGCTCTGAGAACACACACATATTTTATTTCTCCTTTTGGAAACTTTTTTTTCAGTGATCAAAAGAAAATATTAGATGGGTTACCTTACATTCACCTATAATCACTGTTGGATATTAGACTAGAAATCAAGTCTAGATCTCCAGATCCTCTGGGAAGCTATTTCTAACTAGGAACTTGATTTGGCCTTCGCAAAGGAAGGCATAAGATGGTACTGAGCGATTTTTTTTTCCAGTAGGAAACCTTCTGCTTTTGATTTGAAGACGAGGTGACATATTTATTGTGTTAATCAAGCTTCTTCCAAGTGTGGGGCATGTGTCCCCACTTTGGTCTTCCAGATTGATTCAGACAACATTGTTGAACGTTCTCCTTGTCCTGCTCACATTCTGATACCAGAGTTCTCCCACTTGGCAGCTTCCCCTTTCATTTAGAAACAGGAAGTTAAATATCATTCCCAGGAGGATGTGGGCATGCACCGAGTCAAATTTTGAGTGTTCTCTCTTCATGTGATTCACTCAAGCAAGTGATAATAATATATTTACATGGTCATATGTTACCAAAGAAATGCCAGGTTTGATCGAAGGAAATGGCTACTGCCTGACACCCGAGACTTGCTGCAGTGTGCCCGTTTCCTTCTCCTGCTCTGATCAACCCTGTGCTGCTCCATGCTGAGCGGAGCAGGGCTGGCTGAAGACTCTCCTCCCTGTTGGCATGGTTTCCGGGAGTCCAGGGAGCTAGGCATGCTTACACATTTTACATAAGACTCGGACATTCAGAACTTTTTGTACCCGGGATCTTTCATGCCTCTTGCACTGTTGACCCACCCAGAGAGGGAGGAAGAAACTATAAGCACATAAAAGCTTATGTTCAGACATTTGGAGGCAGTGGAGTGGGGAGGGGGCACTGAGTCATGCCCTGTGGTGCTCAGGGGCTGTTCTTGGCTCTTGGTTCAGGAGTGACCCTGAGGGCACTCGAGGGACCATATTGCTCTGCCTGAGATTGGAGCCTGGGCCAGCTGTATGCCCAATCCCCGCCCCCCCCCCCCCGTTGTCTCTCTAGTATCCCATTCAAACATTAAAAACTCTCAACAATATTCACTTATGAAATTGTGCCTTTCTTTGCTTTAATAACCACATCAACCACAACGACAATAATAGTTTTGTTTTTAAATGCACTGTTCCTAAATCTGAGCTTTTTTAAAGTCATCTCAAAATGAGGAATAAAGATATCAGACCCATTTTTCAAAAGTCTGGAGCTTGTTTTTCTAAACATGTACTAATGCCTAATCTGCTTTTAAATTATTTGTCAAGATTTTAAAAAATTATTCTGAACGTAAATTAAAAAAATTTTTTTACAATATATTTTTTCTGCTGAATTACAAAAAAGATATGATTGGCTTCATTATACTGTCACATTTTCCATAAGCTAGTGGATCTTGAAATATTTTTTATTTTGAACTCAACACATTGTGATAACATTTGACTTCTGCATGTATGTCACCTTTGAAGTAAAAAAAAAAATAAACAGGAATCTTAGGATCACATGAGTGTTTTCTAGTTTCTGTTGTTTATGATCATGGGACATACTATATGAAACAGATCTACCTAGTTCTCACAAAGCAGAGTTTTGTACCAGAGAACTCCTGCACTTATTTCTAACCAAGTGCAACATGCCAGCTGTGTAAAGGCTTTGATTTGTCAGATTTTAAGCGCCTATCATTTAAAGGACTTTAAGAGAGGACTCTGCCAGATTTTGCTTCGGAAATTGTTTTAATTGATTACTTAGTTCATAATAGGTTTTGAATAGGCTAAGCGGATTTAATCAGTCTGAAACCCCTTCCTTAACTCCTTGGATTAAGTAAGTGACTGCTCATTTGAGATACAAGGAGATGCTCTGTGGGGAGGGACTTACGGCGCCCCTCCGGCTGCAGGGGACAGGGCAAGCCAGCAGTGGGAAAAGGCTTCCTTCATTTCTTGGCCGAGCCCTAGCTGGGGCTGCTTGCTTGACTCTACAAAAAATCAATCCATAAAAGAACCCCCCAGAAGCCCAAGCACTCACTTTCTTGTTCTTGCCATTTCTCAGGTTCTATGACTCTGATTGAAATCCATATGCTTTTCTCTTCACCTATTAATTTACCGAACTCCCTACGAGGCAGTTTTATTCCAGGCTCTCTAGATCAGGACAGTCACAGTTGTTAAAGACAAAGAATGCTTATTCTAAGTTACTTGCTTTGTTGTCTTTTGCTTGCACTTTCTGCATTGCCTACTCAATTTTAAGGTTTCCTTTGCTTCCCCACAACTTTTTCACTTTTCAAACTGAGGGGTGTTTCATAAAAAAAAAAAATGTCCATTTAATATGCTGTGATTATTAAGTTCATGGTTACAAAGGATAGAATGGAAAAAAAAACATGAAAACACAACTCTTAAATGAGTCTAACTTAATTGTAGCCTGCTCAACTCTTCTTGAATTTAGTTTATGAATCACATAAGACTTTATAATGCAAAGAAATGTTGGTGTGATTAGGTCAGCGAGACATGATATTTGAGCTACCAACTGAGCCCCGAGCTCCTCTGCTCCTTGTAAAGGGGCAAAGCACTAGCAAGTGGAGAACAGGATGATAAAGTTGGCAGGACACATTCCACTCCTGGCTTCCGTAACTCAGGATCACTCAGTCTTTCAGCCTCACCTCCCAGCAAGTCACCCCAATCGAGATCAGGGTAACTGTATGGCCTTGTTATAAACACCTCTGATCTCCTTCGGCACCCCAGGCTGGCATTGGAGTTTGGTGTTTGAAAATTACCTTATTTTGTGAAGAAACAGGCCTTTACCGTAAGACTTGGACATTCCCACAAACTGACAGCATTCAGAGCTGCCACTTGGTGGCGCTGCCCTCCAGCCGATGGTACTTTGATCACCTCTGTGTGTCATTTTAAGATTTGACTGCTTTCATGTTTTATAAAAACTAGACTGAGGTGTAGCGCTTCCTACACTTAATAAAAATGTACCAAAGTTAGAACTCTCTGGATGTGTTTTAAAATTTTAAGTCTTCGGCTCTCATTGAACCTAGAAGGTATGTGTGCCAAAGAGAAAGAACTGAACATTATAGAAAATACCAAAAACTACGTATTTATCAAATACGGTGTCCGAAGGGAGAACTAAAATTAGGGGTGAAAGTGTTTTTCTAAATATGGCACTCTTTTAAAAATATGAGTATTAACTGTTCACTTTTCCTACATTGTATATTTCTATAATAGTTTGCTAATTATGAAGTGAAGTAGAGGACTGCCTGTAGGTAGTTTACTTTTCTAAAGAATATATTCAAACCAATTAAAATTGACTCGGGAATTGGTGACTCAGGGTTGTACAAAGGCCTGGGCAATTTTCTCAGTACCTGAACAGAGTCGGGAGGTAAAGAGGAAAAAACAAGAAACAGGGTCGATAGCTGGTAGTCAGAGCGACATTTAGAGTGGATTCTTCCTCCACTTCTTCCATGAAGAAAAAAGCCGGAGCAGCTTCCTTGCAGACTTGATTATGCCACCTTTGTTTCCTATTTTCACATGTCTGTCACCCTCTTAGAATACTTCTTATTTAGGTGACCTCAGTCCAGCTTGAAGCCACCATGTAATGTGAAGCCTTTGATCTTGCTGACACATCTCCGATTTTTAAAGAGAACTCACAGACTCTTGGAGTTTTACAGTGGAAGGGACCTTCGAGATCATGGACCAGTGCTTCTCACTAAGCCCTGAGGATGCAGGGGGACCACTACCGAGCTTAAGGAACACGAAGCATTTTTGGCCCTCCTATCAGAGATTTGAGTCCTCAGATGTGGGATGTGTAGATTCTGCTTTTAGAGCAAGCAACCCAGACGTTTTAGTGTGATTGGTCCCCAGACCACACGGAGGAGCCCCCGAATATAGCCCACCCCCACTGAGACAGATAAGGAACGTTTTCGCTTCCACCCACCCTCTAGGTGACCTGATTTAAATGTAGACAATTGGATGAGGCTGGAGAGATATAATGGTTGCTAAGATTTGAGACAATGATTCTCATAAATAAGAACTTTATGCTGAGGGCCACAACAGTATGAGGTAGTCCATCTCTGCAAGCCCATAATCTAATACCTTTAATATAGAAGGGGGCTTTTCTCTTTTCTAAATACCGTTTCAGCCTGTTAAGAGAAAAGAAATTAATGTTCAGAAAAAGTAGTTACTCCATATGTGCAGTAACTACTTTTCTATAATGTCTTACGGCATCTGGGGTTCAGCATCATTGAACAAGATTAAATGAACATTATAGAGCTATAAAATTGCATGTAAAATAACGCAAAATGGTTCAAATGACTATCAAAGTAGCCTGGGAATGAATTTCCACTAAAATTAATTGCCACTCCTAGACTCAGCTTAGCAAAAGCATTACTAAACTGGAGGGACTCTTTAATGCAAAGAACTGTCAAAACAATCAAATAAGTATTCCCTACACCCATGAGAATGATAAGCAGAAGTCATTGTGAAGTCCGTATTTTTTTGTTCATCATTAAGACTAAAATTTAGGACCCCATTGTATATGTGTGTTGGATGTACTTTATTAGAATATCCAATAAAACAGTCTTTTGGATATTCTAAGCTCTCGTGTCCTTCAGAAATCATAAATTTGAAGGAATCTGTGTTAAATGTTTTTTAGTTGCATACAGCTAGTTTTGTTTAGAGTTTACTGTCTGAAAATTAGTTATCTGATATTTAGTCAAGTGAAAGATTTCATTACAAAAATTTTGTCTCCGATGTTGAAATAAAAAAATTTTCCTTAAAATTTTATTTTGGAATAAGTATTTATTTGGAATTGGCAACTTTGTATTAGAGAAAGAATGAAGTGGAAATGGTAGTTTCTGAATTCTCTATGGAAACTTAGTGAGTGATCCCCCTTAACTTTTTACATGCCAAAAAGTAACATTTCAATGATAGCTTAAGAAGGTGTACATTTTAATTGTAGTAGTTTGCATTATACTATCAGTGAGGAACAATGAAGGACTTTGAGCAT